CCTAACGCGCTGGCCCGGGAAACGCGTGCCGGGAGCTGCGGAGAACTTTGTTTGTGTTCTCAGGCCAATCTCGGATCGAGCTCGGGGCCGTTCCAGGGCTGTTCCTCATCTCCGCCTTTGCCCTCCCACAGCCCGGGGGGCCCTGAGAGCGCGGGCCGAGGCTGGGCCGTGTGCAGAGCCCGCCCCTCGCTGCCATTGGCTGATTGTGCAAATGTCACTCCTGGTTCTCGCGCGCTGATTGGGGAGAGCGGGGACAAGGCTTTTAGGCGGGGTGCAGTAAAGGCGCCATTGTCGGGCAGTTTGTGCGGGCCCGGCCGCGGCGGCGGCAGCGGCGGCGGCCCGAGTCCAGTGAGGCCGTGGCGGAGCTCGCAGGCGGCCCCAGCGTAGGTGGGAGCCGCGCTCGGTTCTGCGGGGGCTCGGGGCTCGCTGCGGGCCGAGGGGGCGGCAGGGGGCTCTGGCGGGTTGGTTGTGCCGGTCCTGGCCCGTGTTGGCGCTGGGCTGAGGAGCTGTCTCCTTCCCGCTGGGGCCTCGGCAGGAGCCGGTGCCGGAGCAGCGCTGGCTCGTCCCGATTCCTGTGGGTAGCATAGAGGTGGCTGTCCTGTTCCTGGAGCTGTTCGGGAAAATTCCCGTGGCCGGAGGTTTGTGTGACCAAAGGAGACAGAGGAGTCCTGTAAAAGTGACTTCCTTCGTGAACAAAGGGAGACGCCATGCGGCATTTGCCATGCGGTCTCTCCAGTTGTTGTAGTACGCAGTCTCCTTTCTATCCTCATTTTCCCGGCTGCATTCCCCGTTTCCCTTTCGCCACCAACTGAGGTTCTTGGAAAGTTCAGACTTCCCAATCCGCCTACTGCATGTCCTCGTTAATATGTACCTCTCCTTTTGTATAACATCCGATCTTCCTGGCTCTGTTAAGTGTTTCTCCTTCTCGAAGGTCAGGCACTGAGCAGGATCTTGGCTGAGCAGGTGTCTCTGGAAATTAGTAACAGTTTCTGAAAACGATGGTTTCTCCCATTACTTCATTTTATACAAATTCCTGGCCCTATCTCCAGGCATATTCATCTTACTCTACTCAAATCCTCTTCTCATTTTTTCAGTAATT